GGGCGCAAGCGACCCCGGCCCCGGCCCCAGCCTGCCCACAGCTCCAGCGGGGCGGGCGCCACTGCCACGGGGGCCGCGAGAAGGAGGGAGAGGGGGCAGGAAGGCTGCTAAGTGACCCCAGCGCTGAACTGGGAAAATCCACCTTCCTCAGCAGCTCTGCTGAGGCTCCAGAGGTTGGTTGCACCAGTGCCCACTGTGTGGGAGAGGCAGCACGAGCAGCTGCCTTCACCAGCACATACCGAGCAGTCTCAGCAGACCTTCTCCAGCAGCGCAGACCCTCCGCCGGGGCTGCCGTGCAGCGAGTGGTGGCGTGGAAGAGGGCTGAAGCCTTTATCAGGGCTTTCCTGACACGTAGGGACAACTCTTAGCATTTGCCCAAAAACCAAATGGGGAAGAGGGTCCGAGGCGGGAGGTGGCTGTCAAGACCCCGCAGCTCAAGCCCTGCTCTGCTCCTCCGAGAAGAGCGTGCCCTAGATGGCTGGGTTTTAAAACCCTCTTGGTCTCCAGAGCATCGCAGACGGTCCCTGGCAGGGCGGGAGTAAAGGAGGGTGCAAGAGCCGAGGCAGAGGCAGCGGGATGGCAATCAGAGCCATGCATGCACACGCCGCTCTCTGAACCCATTTAACCCCAATGAGTAACATCCCGAAGAGGGAAAAGTCTTTGTTAAGGATTCAAGGCTCATTAAGCATGAAGCAGTGGCGGTAGAACCAGTCACGAGCAAACTCTGACAGCTTGAGTATTTCAAACAGGAAAACCCCAAACCCTGTTAATCCCCCTTGCACGTCCTCTCCAATTCACTCCATTAGGAGACAGAGCTGGGAGCTGCAGGCAGGAGAGAGTAATGGGAAGAGTCGTAGCCTCTGGTAGGATTTACGCTGATAAATCTTAGCTCATCAAAGATGAGAACATAGGGCTGTTTCTACTCGGGCCTCAGAGACCAAGCGCTTCCCTGTTTGTAGCTGTCAAACCAGTGGGCGAAGGGTGCAAACCATGGTGCTCTGAGCTCCCCCCACCTACCTGTTCTGTTCCTCTCTAGTGTCCTGAAGCCCCCGACTGCAAAGTGTCCTCATGCTACAGTAAACCGTAGTCCCCACCATTCCCTGCAAGCTAGGCCAGTGTTAGCCCAGCTGGAAAAGAGAAGCTGCAAGTGGGGAAGATTTTATGGAGTTGACCTGGAAAACTCCCCCATCTTCCAGTTACCAACCTAACCTGAAACTTCTTGTATAACCTCCTTCCATCTTCTCCAAAGATCAAGCCTTCGCTGGCTCTTTTGCTGCCCATGCCACTTTTGCATCAATTCCTATAAACCGCGTCTCACTAGCATGGGCTCCCGCATGGGAGCAAACCCCCGGAGAAGCATGTCTGCGCCAAGGCGCACGGAAAGGATAAGCAGTGCAGGAATCCCAAGCCAAGATGGGCCACCTCCCTTCCTTCAGCTCTTCTAGATTAACCTCCCCAAGATTAGATACATAGCGGCTGTCAAAGGAGACAAGATACCTTGGTTTGACTGAGAAATAACCTAGGTTAGCTGCGTACGGGGAAGAAGGGCCCAAACAAATTGTGCCTGGTAAACAGTGCAAGCGTTTGGTCTCTGCTTGAGATTTTACAGCCAGATAACAACTCAATAGCTTTTACTGTATGTTAAAAGAATAAAATAAACCATCTTTTATCAGGCAGGGCCTTTTGACAAATGGCAAGGAAATGAAAGCAATCGCCTCTGCAGTTGCGAACACGGTGCAGCTGGGAGCTTGCAGCTCATTTGACATTAAGTGGAAGGGACCCCGTCTTGG